AGAACACAAATTAACAGCCTAATAAGCCACCTAAGGAAGCTGGAAAAGCAAGACCACAAAAACCCTAATTTCAGCAGAAGAATCCAGATCACCAAACTAAAAGCCCAAATCTGGAACATAATAGACAAAAAGATAATATTAAAAAATCAATGAAACAAAAAGCTGGTTCTTCGAAAGGAGAAGACATGCTATGCCATGATACAAGTTTAAGATATGGTGCATTTAACCACTGGCCATTTTCACCAAACTCAAAACTGAACACAGATAACCAGGAGGCTAAGGTAGGAGGATCACTTGAGCCCAGGAGTTGAAGGTTGTAGCACACCACGATGGCGACTGTGAACAGTCACTGCACTCCAGCCTGGGTGACATAGCAGACCCTGTCTCTTAAAAAACAAAACAAAACAAAACTGCACACAGCAATGAGAGATTATAAACAGAAAAATGAATATTTCCCCTATAAAAGTGAAGTTTGTTTCTTAGCTATCAGAGTTTAGGAACAGAAACTGGAAAGTGATGGACAATTTTTAGGAATGGGTTGCCAAGACAGAAATATGAATGATACATGCTCTGTATAAAAACAATCACTGGCCAAGCACAGTGGCTCATGCTTGTGATCCCAGCACTTTGGGAGGATAAGGAGAAAATTGCTTGAGCCCAAGAGTTAGAGACCAGCATGGGCAACATAGCAGACCCCATCTCTACAAAAAATAAAAAATAGGCAGGGTGTGGTGGCACACACTTGCACTCTCAGCTACTCAGGAACTGAGGCAGAAGAACTGCCTGAGTCCAAGAGGTTGAGGCTATGGTGAGCCGTGATGATGCCACTGCACTCCAGCCTGGACAACAGAGACCTCAACTCAAAAAACAAAAAACACAAACCAACAAAAAACAATCGCTGATGACCTCCTGCTAAGCAAACAATGCTTTTAATATCAAAATGTTCTGAGCATCAGATGTAAGATGTTTGTGAAGTGGGTCATCCTACCTTGAAGATGAAGTCAGCCATCAGAGGTCCTGGGATCTTAAAGGTTTGCCTCTCTGAGCCCCTCTGAAATTCAACTGTTGTGTTTTCTACAACAAATACTCCAGGGCTATTAAAGCTGTGTTCTCCTTTGCTTCCTTGAAGTGTTTTTGATTCAATAACTACAATTAAAAAAATAAAATTCAAGTCAATTATCTTAAAGACATCTTATTTTAGAAGACATTTTACTAAGTACAAAACTATTATATAATATCAACACAATATCAAAACACCCATTCAGTTTATCAACACTGATTCATACTGGTGGAATAGATATGTCAGATTTTTGGTTGCTCATAAAAATGAGCTAACAAGTGTGGTATGCCCAAATAGACCTACTCAATACTTTGGAGTCATTTCTACTATAAGGTAAAAAGAGAAAAATTTTCTTTATTTTTTTTCACAATGTAGCTAATACTCAAGGTAAAGCTATATTTACTCACTTTATTACCTGTTCAGAAGATCTTAAGCCTAGTCTTTTATTTAGACAAAAGTCACAGCAAATCTCAAACTTGCTTTTTGCAAACAAAATTTTTTATTTTTAAGTAATTATTGATTCACAAGAAGTTGCAAAAATAGTACAGAGAGGACTTAGGTGACCATCATTCAGTCTGTTCAAAGGTCACATATCATGAAACCAGTACAATATCAAAACCAGGAAACACATTGGTACAATGTGTGTGTATAGTTTGATGCCATTTGATCCCACACCACAACAATAAAACTACAGAACCATTCCATTGCCACGAAGATCTCCTTCAGGCATACTACCCCCTTATTTGAACTTGCTTTTATATGAAGTACTTTTAAGACCTCCTGTAGAAAAAAAATGTTTGCCCACAATTTGAACAAAATAGTATGCTTATTTCATTTGAATTTCTTTCTTTCTTCTCCTCCTCTTTTCTTTCTTTTATTTTGTTAGTGTCATCATACTTAGCAGACCTGGTCTGAGGTTGAGAGAGGCAATTGAAAATACACACACACACATACACACACACACGCGTGCGCGCACACACACACACACACACATACACACACACACACACACACACACACACACACACACACACACACACACACACAGCTGTGAGCACCTGTGTTTCTGGTCCCAGCTTTCTCTAACTTGCTGCATTGGGTTTTCATTGCCTCATTTCTAAAAGGAGTCAGAGCAGACAATCTCCCATGTCCAACTCTACTCTGAAACCTACCTTTGATTCAGTGGTATTGTACCAGTTCTTAACAATCTCAAAGGACATAACAGAACCAAAAATACACTGAGTTTCAAAATTTAAAAATGGAAGGCTGATAAAATGTGACAAAATGATCAGGTATTAGGAAGCTTCAATCCATATGCTGTGGGCTTTGGTTATTTTCATTTGCTGGACTTTCTCTCTGCCACCGAAGCAGCTGCAGGAATTCAAGCGCCCTGGACAGACTGCATAACAGGCATTAGGAGACATCCCTGATTATCCCTGACAGGCAGGCTGGGAACTTTTCTGGGAAAATTCAAAGGCTGGACATGAGCTCCTTGATCTGGAGGAGTCATTAGTGGTCGAAGAATAATGCTGGCTACTTTCAGGCACACAAAACCCCAACCACTTTGGCCCTGATCTCCATGACCGCAGTAGATTTTTGGAAAGTGTGAGATTAAATTCATTTCCTAGTTCCAATGAAGATATAAAACTGAGTGTTATAAAGTGAGTTGTCAGTAAAAATTAAATGGGGAACTGGAGATAGTAAGTGAGCCCTATACTGGATGAATCCAGTCTCTAAAGTAAATCAGAAAATACAACAAGCATCAAGACACTATCAAAACACAAAATAAAGTTGGCCATAATTCATCCTTATAGAAGGCATGTGAAACACCAAATTTCTAGACTAAGATTTAGCCTGAAATGACTTGATTAAATTCAAGAAGTGAGCGATGGATTCCACGGCTGTGTTGAGGTAGTAATTGCTTTACCATTGTGCTAACCTTCTGAATCACAGCTTTCCAAGTTTCATCAGGATACAGACTTGGGGCAGGGGGTGTAAGAATCTGGGAAGGACATCTGGGAGGAAGGGAAGACCAGTTGCTATGAAATTCATGCCCTAAAGTAAAGTCCAGTGTTTCTGTTAACTTGATTTTGGTGTTTTGTTTTTTAACACAATCTATCACACTATTTCAACAGTGTCTAAAATTTTCAATGGCAAGGAGATTGAAAATAGCAAAAACAATTTTCAGGTTCATGTAAATTATCCAAACTACTCTTCTTCCCCACTGAACTGTATGCTTATTGTAAAATATCTTTACTTCAATTATTTTAAAAGGTTTCCAGTTCTCTAGAGCACAAACACTGGCTGCATATCTAGGAGGTAGAAAGCAGGCATTTTGACCTCAATTGTGTAAATGAGCTAGCAGAGTCAAAGGTGGGTGAATAAAGACTGGCGAAGTGATTTGATGAAGGTGGAGCTTATGAATGCAAACAATCCTGATGATTCAGATTAACAAAGCCATTGTGCCGAATCCACAGTGAGATGGAGGCTAGTGTAGTTCTTCAAAAGTTGTTATTTTTATTGATGGCAAACTTGCTTCTCTTTAGTGCCTGTGCCTCTTGAAATAAATGACAGAAAAGGAGTTTGTGGTTTTTCAATCAACAATTCAAATGATCTATTGACTTATGGATGCCTTTATTAAGTTTTTATTAATCTCTATCACCTCCATGTATTTACTGCAGACTGTGTTGTGGCAATGTGTTAGTCATGGCTAGGCAGAGCTGCATGCACAAGTCCTTCAGTTCTCAGAGTTTTCACTGACCCCTCTGTGGTTTCTGCAGCAAGGGGATTAGTACTCAGGAGACCCCAGGAAGCCTATAAACACCCCCACCACTATTAAAGGAAAAGAGCAGGAGCCTTCTTTCCTGTTGCCTCTGCTCACATGTTTTTCTCCTCTCCAGGACTGATATTGAGTGGAGGAGAGGAAGAAGAAATGACAGATAGACTCAAAAAGGATGAAAAATAGAATCAGAAATCAAGACCTTCTTGCATCCCCAAATCGTTTCATGTCTCTAATGATGCCTTTAAGTATTTTAATCCATACTAATTGTTTTCAAAAGGAATGATGCCTAGAAGGATGACGAATGCCTCTAATTACTTCTAGTTGAAGGATTTGCACTGAGAAGTGTCAGTCCCCTCGTCTTTCAAAAGAGGCAGGGTCATGGTAACCATTCCCAAGAGATCTCCCTAAATTCTAAAGGCCACCCAGGTTCTTTTAGTTTAGGTAAATGAGTATTTAGCACAGTTAATTGTAAATACATCAAACTTATGCATATAGTAGAGCTGTATTTTTGTAGTATATGTTAATTTCATTCAGTATCATTTTCCTTTGATTGGGTCATTATGTATAGTATCCATATTTATAGTTATATAGCTCTATATATGGTCATCAGACAGGACTTAAAGGGAAAAATATTCTTCCAATTGAATTGGAGGTTTTCAGTTTATGGCCTCTTGGCGTCTCAAGTTTATTGCTAGTCAAACATTTAATACTAAAGTTTTGCTACAATAAAATCTCTTTTGCAGGGATCCTCTTATTGCTTTCATTTATGAAAATATGCACTACTGGAAAATTTGGGGCTGTGTGCTTCCTATAATGCTGAGGCCAGGCTTGGGATAGCACTGGAAAATCAGGATCTAAACAAACACCTATAGGCAGCATGTCAGATGTACATTCTATAATTAAGTTTCATTCCACAGCAAAAATACTGACATTGTTACTAGGCGTTTTCAGTTTATGATAATGCAGCCTTTAGAGGGTTATAGTTAATATGGATGCAAAAAGAATGATTTATTACTGCAAAATAAGCTTCATTTTAGAAATACCGTTTATTTTACAAATAAAAATATAAGAAAACAGTTGTATAAATTAAGAAAATAAAACCTCTATAGTTACATAGTCAGAAATGTGTAAATGAAGCCAGTTCTAATCATCAGCAAAGAAGGATAACTTCCAGAAATAATTCCAGTACCAATTGTGAGATTGTTCAGAAGGGGAAATAGCTCAAGCAACAGATTTGTCACTTTTGGAGAAATGGGAACATTTTTTGAGCCCTGCTTTTAGAAGAGTACCAGTCCTGAATATAAAGCTATGCTGAATATGCCAGAACATATATGCATGTAAGTGAATTTTTGTCTCAAAGTATTAACTTCTACTTATTCTGTTTACTGTTTACTTATTCTGTTTACTGTTTACTTATTCTGTTTTTGTAGCTTAAAATCAGCTGCAATTATTTTTGGAGCTGAATTTTGGAGAACTGCTTTTAATATCATGAGAATATCAGGCCCATTCACTGCATTTTTTTGAAAAACATCTTTTTGGTAAATAATTCACATATCATAGACTTTGCCCTTATTTTAAAATGTGTAATTTAATAGTTTGAAGCCATCACCATGACCTAAGCTTAGAACATTTCTGTCACCTTCAAAAGAAACCCCATACCCATTAGCCAGGCAATTTCCAATCTATGTTCCATCTCTATAGATTTGCCCATTCTGGACATTACATATAAACGGAATAGTGTAAGATGTGGCCTTTGATGACTGGTTTCTTTCACTGAGAATAATGTTTTCAAAGATCATCCATGTTGTATCCTATTATCAGGTATTTCATCCCTTTTTATAGCCAAATAGTATATCATCTATGTCATATTTTATTTATTCATTGAAAAGTTTGGGTTGTTTCCACTTGGTAGCTATTATGAATAATGCTGCGATGAATATTCAGCACTTCACATTTTTTAATCCAAAATGATATTTTACAATGTGTTTACTCAAAAGGTTCACAAAATCTGGATCTAACGATTTTTACCTGTTTCCCCAAATCAAGTTTGTATTTATAAGAATGAAGATTTACTCTTATCTAGAGCTATGGGCTTTGAAGCCATTTAAAAGGGAAGTTTTAAACATGTTTTTGATGCTGTATTACAAAGAAAACCTTGGGGCTGGGTGAAGTGGCTCACGTCTGTAATCCCAACACTTTGGGAGACCAAAGCAGGAGGATCACTTCTGGCCACAAGTATGAGACAGCCTGGGCAACATAGCGAGACCTAGTCTCTACTAAAAAAAAAAAAAAAAAAAAATTAGCTCAGTGTGGTGGTCTACACCTGTAGTCGCAGCTACTCCTACTCAGAAGGCATAGGTGGAAGGATCACCTGAGCCCAGGGGGTTAAGGCTGCAGTGAGCCATGACCATGCCACTGCACTCCAGTCTAGATAACAGAGTGAGACTCCAAAGGAAGTGATACATGGCTGTAAACATTTTAGTAATTTTGTTGTTTTTAAGAAAATCAGTTAATCTTTTAGTCATAATTCACATAATAATATTAAAGGTAAATAAGAACTTTTGCATAATTGTTTGCTTCACTCTCACAAAGATATTCTCTTGTTTTTCTAATTTGGATCAAAATGTACTCTAGGGTATTTTTTTTTTTCCTCAAGATTTTCAATCTGATGGTAACCTTACTCATTTTTATTTCAATACTGTATTATCAACTTTTCTTAAAGGACATTTCTGGGCTGAATATTATTTCTGGATCCAAAATATCCAAACATATATGCACACATTCACCCACATAAAAACACACTTAAAAGCTACCAAAAATGTGAGATGCTTTTGGCCCAGAGAAATTCTTTTTTTTTTCTTTACGTTGGAATCTCACTCTGTTGGCCAGGCTGGAGTGCAGAGGCATGCTCACGGCCACTGCAGCTTCAACCTAGCAGACTCAGGTGATCCTTCTGCATCAGCCTTCCTAGTAGCTGGAACTACAGGTGTGTGCCACCACGCCCAGCTAATTTTTTGATTTATTGTAGAGACAAGGTCTTGCCAAGTTGCCCGGGCTGTTCTCGAATGCCTGGGCTCAGGCAATCCTCTCACCTTGACCTCCCAAAGTGCTGGAATTACAGGCTTGAGTCACCATACCTGGCCCAGAGAAAGGTTTATAGTTTGTTGGACTTTTTTTTTTTTTTTTGATAAATAAGCTATGAGGAAATAAAACCAATGTTAAGATTAAATTCTACTTACAGAGGTGGGCAGGTCCTTTTATAGTAATTCTCACACTTCGACTTCCCAAAGGAACAGCAATGACATTTTCTTCTCCTAGGAAAGACCAGAAGACAAATGTAGTAAAACTTGTGCACTAAAGGCCCATGAAAATGAGCAAGTCAATCAGAACTGAGAGTATTTGCAAAGTGTTCCTAACTATATTTCATTTTCATATTATAGTCAAGAAATCTTTGGAAAATATTTTTTTTTAAATTATGTGTAAGGTGGACTCATATTATTCACATAATTTTATTTAACTACATTCTTAAATAAATTAAAGAAATACTGAAGATAAATGCACCAGCTTTATTTCTCAATGCCTTATTTCCCCAGACTTCCTCCTTGTGCTTTGATAGGGGTTTGCTCTCGGTGGCTCTCATGCCAAATCTGGCCACACCCATTCCTTTAAGGCTGTTTTTGCTCTACAGGTAAAAGGCAGTGTTCAAGAGTAATGGAGACTGTATGGTTCACGAAGTCTAAAATATTTACTGTACTATCTGACCCTTCATGTAAAAGTTTCATGATCCTTGGCTTGGATAACTACCTAGTGGAAATTCTGGTCCTCGTGGATGTTATTCATGCTGGTACTATTCTGATAATTCTATCTTTATGCCCACACAATAATCTAAGTTCATATATGAAATTTTATCCCATTAATCTCTACCTGAACATTGTCAGTTTCTAAATGATACTAGAGCATTATCAAGGGTATGAATTATTTTGAGAAGATTTTGTTTTTAGTTTAACTTGTGGAGAACATTTTTTTGGATAAACTCTCCAGAGCGAAATTGGTGAAGCAAAGTATGTTGATACATTTACTGACTAGTTTATAAGTGTTAATAAATAAAAATACGTGTTTATTATTGAAAATTAGAAAATACAGATAAATAAAAAGGCAAAATAAAACTATTTCTAATTCTATTACCCACAGATCATCATTTCTAACACTCTGATGAGTGTCCTTTCTAGAATTTTGTGTTTGTTTTTAACATCTATACATGTAACAGGAAACAAAAAACTCTGCCTAAATGTCCATCATATGGAACAGGTTAAATATTAAACAAATGTATCCATACTAAAGAATACTCTGCAACTGATAAAAGTAATGATAAGAAGCCATATGACCTAGTGTGGAAAGATTATATATACATATATGTATACATACATATGTACATGACTAAAAAATGACTAAAAGCACAAAAAACAAATAAAAACATAAATTGGGCTACATTAAAATTAAATTTTTATGCATCAAAGGACATAATCAACAGAGTGACAAAAAACACAGAATGGGAAAAGACATATGCAAATCACATATAAGAGATTACTATCTGTAATATACAAAGAGCACCTACAACTCAACAACAAAAAACCCTACTTTTTAAAAAAAGGACAAAAGAATTTGAATAGACATTTTTCCAAAGAGGATATACAAATGACCAATAAGCACATAAAAATGCTCAATATCGGGAATTATTAGGGGAATATAAATCAAAATTGCAATGAGATGCCATTTCACATCCATTAGGATGACCACTACAAACAATAATGAAATAAACAGAAAATAACAAGTATTGGTGAGGATGTAGGGAAACTGGAATGCTTATGAACTGCTGGTGGGCATGTAAAACAGTATAACCACAATGGAAAACAGCATGGTAGTTTCTTAAAGTATTAAACATAGAATTACTGTATGATCCAGCAATTCCACTTCTAGGTATATAACCAAAATAATTGAAAGCAGGGACACAAGCAGATACTAGTATACTCATGATCATTTTTAACAATAGCCAAAAGGTGAAAGCAATCCAAGTGTCTATCCATGGATGAATGGATAAATATCAAATGGTATAAATTTATCATGGAACATTATTCAGGCTTTAAAAAAAGAAAATTCTGACACACTCTAAAATATGGATGAACTTTGAAGATATTATGCACAGTGAAATAAGCCAGTCATAAAATGACAAATACTGTATGATTCTACTTATATGAGGTAATTAGAATAGTCAAGTTCATAGAAACAGAAAGTAGAATGGTGGGTACCAAGGTCTGGGGAGACAGAAAAATGGAGAGTTATTGTTTGGTGAGTACAAAGTTTCTGTTTTGCAAGATGAAAAGTGTTTTGGAGATGGATGGTTGTAAAACAGTGTGAATGTACTCAGTGCCACTGAACTTTGTACTTAAAAATAGCTAAAATGGTGAATTTAATGTTTTATATATACTATATTTTACAACTTTAAAAATTCATATGACACAATTCCATTGTAGATATGTATTTAAAAATTATATTCTCATGTATATGTAATTTATGGCAATACATACATGCATTTTATTATATTGTGGGCAAATGTATAGATGAAATTGTATACACATAATGCGTGCAAATGCATAGTACTGTGTAATTGCCCATTAGTAAATAATAGAATGGGATTTTAATTCTTTTTTTTATTTGAGTCAGAGTCTGTCTCCCAGGTTGGAGTACAGTGGCATGCTCACGGCCACTCCAGCGTCAACCCGCTGAGCTCAGGTGATCCTTCCACCTCAGCCTTTCAAATAGCTGGAACTACAGGTGTGTGTTACCACACCTGGCTAATTTTTTGATATATCGTAGAGATGAGGTCTCACCAAGTTGCCCAGGCTGGTTTCGAACTCCTGGGTTCAGGCAATCCTCTTGCCTCGGCCTCCCAACATGCTGGGATTACAGGCTCAAGCCACTGTGCCTGGCCAGATTTTAATTCTTTAATCTTTTAAATGTGCAGAAAAGTTTTTACCAACCATTGACAGTGGTTACCTCTGGAGAGGGAAGTAAGAGTTGGAAAGTGAGTGAGAGAGCATAAGTTTATACTTTTTTACTTTTCTATAATGAAAATGTACCGATGAGTCACTTATGTAAAAATTGTTAAAACCTAAAAACATTTTTTTAAAAAGAAGAAGAAGAAAGAAAATAAAGGACCAGGCCTAAAAAGTTTTGCTGTATGAGTTTTACAAAATCTTAAGCAAACGGGTATGTTCCAAATGACAGGAAGACTGAAAGGTTGACAATTAGAGATATACAACCAATCTAATTATGATACCCAAGCAAAATACATAAATATGAACCAATTTTAATTATAACTATGGATAGAAAGCACTAAATAAAATAAAGCAAATCAATTCCAAAACTATGAAAAGAATTATACAACTTGACTGAAAAAATATGTTCCAAAATTGAATGACTGATTCGATTTTAGAAAATTTATTCATATAGTGGGTTCTATTAACAGATCAAAGAAGTTACATAGTATGACCATTTTGATGAATATAAAAAGGTATCTGTTAAGACTCTTATTAAAGCCAGAGACAGAAGGAAATATCCTAAATTTGATAAAGACATCAGAAGCCATGGACAAACACAATGGTGAAACATTAGAATTATTCCCATCACAGACAGAACAAATCAAGAATTATTATCATTTTTGCACACTGTCCTGGAGTTCCTCATCAATATAATTAGAAAATAAATAACTTATAAAAATATATACTGGAAAGAAAATATTTTAAAATACCATTATTTGTAAATTACAGGACTACATAAAATTCAAGAAGAAAAAAGTTATTATAATACAAAAAAGTTCAAGAAAAACTCTGACATTAAGCAAACTATTTTTCCATTTTAATGTTATATATTATACATTACATACATGTATTTAATTTGTTATTATATATTGTGTTAATATACAAAATTATAGGGTGAGAAAGTTTTTAAAAGGAAACCTTTGTTTTCTTTTTTTGTAACAGAAGAATGTCTGCAAGAAAATGTAGAATGAATGATCGAATTAGAAGATCACCATTTACAATTCTTAGCATAAGTACTATTTCAAGGAAGGGTCATCAATTTATCCTAAAGCTATGGTGTGAAAGATTGTTGCAAGACAGAATATTTACACCTTGTCAAGATGCCATCCTGGAGATTTCTGTTTACAGAGAAACAAATCTATACAACAGAGTATAGATTACTTCACCACGCATCTGTAGACAAGTGATCACACAGCATTACTAATAATGGGGTAATAGAAGTGATACTGTGTGGGCTAATAGAATGGGGTAATAAAAGTGATACTGCATGCTTTATGTTGTATCACATTAGGAAGTCCATGATGTCATGATGTGATGCAACATAAAGCATGCAGTATCACTTTTTTTTGAGTTGGAGTCTCACTCTGTCACCCAGGCTGGAGTGCAGTGGCACACTCATGGCCACCCCAGTGTTGACCTACTGCGCTCGGGCAATCCTTCTGTCTCAGCCTTCCAAGTAGCCAGAACTAGAGGTGCACGCTACCATGGCTGACTAGTTTTTTATTTATTGTAGAGACGAGGAATGCCAAGTTGCCAAGTTGTCTCAAACCCATGGGCTCAGGCAATCCACTCAGCTTGGCCTCCCAAAGTGCTGAGATTACAGGCTGAACCACCAAGCCCAGCCCAGTATCACTTTTGACGTGCTCCTGCCACAAATATTCAATCCAATTCTAATCAAGTCTCAGACCTTACTGATCAGTTTATAGGAATTACATGAGAAAGGCCAACAAATTTTATAAAATGAAATACAATCCAACAAATCCAGAATATGAGACATGCTATCAGACAACTGGGATGAACTCTTTAAAAAGTTGAAAATACATAGCCTAAATAAAAAAGACTAAAGAGAGAAAAACTAAATGAGATGAGTGAATCCTGACTGATTCAAGGGGTAAAACAATTATAAAAGAAGGAATTTGAATATGGATTAGATATTAGATAATATGTATAAATTGTAATCATGTTTAGGCATACTAGTGAGATGGTGTAATAAAAAATATCCTTCTTTTCAGGATAGTCATGCAAAAGTATTTAGAGGTAAGTGCTGTGATGTCTGCAACTTACTTTCATTAGGCTCAGCTAGCTGGATAGATGGAGTAATAGATAAATTAGATAGATAATGAACAAATGTAGCAAAATGTTAACAATTATTGAATCTAAGTGAAAAGATGTACAGTTGTTAATTTGCCATTTTATCAACTTCTATGCATGCTTGA